TTATACCTATTATCTTGTAAGCAATTGACAAATCAAATCACATAAATAAATAAATATTATGCAATGTGTAAGTCTGGTGGCAGTGCAACCCTATCCATGATCAAAGGTAATAATTTTCCAAGAACCAAGGACCAGAGCCTCTCTGTCTTGCCAAGGTTTAGTTTTAGCCCATTCTTCACTATCCAGACCTCAACAGGTTTCAGACACCAAGAGAGGGTGGTCACAGAATCATTTAGCTCACCATGGGCAGAGATTTATAGCTGAATATCCTCAGCATATTGATGATACGTCATTCCATATTGACATATGATCTCTCCAATGGTTTTATTTAGATGTTAAATGGGAATGGAGAAAATACTGACCCATCTCCACAAAGCAAAGACAGGGATCAGACCTCTTCAACTTCCATTCAGTGCTGACTAATCACAATTTTTCTTAAATAAAAATCATGTCTGATTTTTGGAGATTACCTGGACAAGCCCATGCAGTTTCCTGTTTTTTCTTACATGGTTTGCCATTTCCTCTTTTGTAAGGCTGAAGGAAACTGACTATCCCAAGGTCACACAGTTGGTTTTGTGTCCAAGGCTGGACTAGAAATCAGAGTCTCCGATTTCAAGTCTGATGCCTTAACCATTACACCAAACTTATTCTTTGATCAAACTGTCAGTCTTCAAGATTTTCTTCCTTTGCTTTGCATCTTTCGGCTGTCATAAGTAACAGGGGGAGGATGGGGGACATGGTTATGGGAAGTGAGCTGGAGGTGTTACAAAACAAAACTGTATAAGTTGGGGGGGGGATGTTCTTGCTTAGGCTTCTATCCTATGCTATGCACAGCTATAACTTTTTATCAAAATACGTCAAGGTCAATGGACAGAGGCCTCATCACCACCTGGAGATGCCCACATGATGCTATACACAACTTTTAATTGGATGAGCCAATTGAACTATTGGGGGTGGGAACATTGTCGTCACTTTATATGTGTGATTTACACACTCATTTTCTCAGATTCAGAAGTCTTTTTGTTGCTACCGCTTGACTTCCAGTAAAATATATCTTTTCTCTAATTAATGGAGTCTAAGTATTTCTTTCTTGGATTTTGAATGGAGCACCATCTGACATTATTTTGAATCTGAGAATAGCATTTAAAGTACTTTCTCCCAAGCAAATTCGCTGGACGCAGTACTTTAAACGCTTTAATTTTTCATTGATGTACATTCCAGGGGGAAGAACTTCATGGCAGATGCTTTATCTAGATTACCTCAATATAATAGTGCTCACCAAGAAGTGGTACGGCCTATTGTCCCAATCAAACAGTTGGTGGCTCCAGTGGTTACCAGAACCCAGAAAAAAAAGAAGTTGATTTATCAAATGATTAAACTGCACAATTAAAAGAAGCTCTAAAACTTGATGATTGGTTCCTTGCTCACTCAAATAACTGTATGGGTAGAGATGGATTGGCATGGGTGGGGATCAAATTATATGTGCCAGCAAAGCTGAGAAACCAAATATTTCAGCAAGCTCATAACTCTAAAGCTGCTGGACATTTTGGATTCGTGAAGACCTTACACTTGGTTATAAGGCAATTTTGGTGGCCTACCTTGAAAAAGGACATTGAGACCTATGTGGCTAGCTGTCCCATCTGTGCCTCAGCCAACCGGCCTCCTGGTAAACCAGCAGGCTTACTACAAAATGTGGCTAGACCAACTGCTTTGTGGAAGAAAATCTCTATGGATTTTATAGTGGAATTACCTGAAAGTGGGGGAAATACAGTAGTAACTTGGGTAGTAACGGATTTGTTTTCCAAACAGGTACATTTCATACCTTGTGCAAAAATCCCATCTGTGAAAACATTGGCTAAACTGTTTATTTTACATGTCTACAGGTTACATGGGGTTCCTGAACACAGACAGAGTTGTCCAATTTACCTCAAACGTTTGGAAGGAGTTCCTAAAGTTATTGGGCTCTGCCCAGGGCTTAAGCTCTGCCCACCACCCACAAACCAATGGGGCTTGTGAGAGAAATAACTCAGTATTGGAACAGTATCTTAGATGTTATATAAATTATCAGCAAGATGATTGGGCGGACCTACTGCCATTTGCTGAGGTGGCATATAACAATTTGGTATGTAGTAGTACTGGGTTTATTCCATTTTAAGTGGCTTCAGGACAAGACTTTGTACCTATATCCAAGCTTCCACAGGAGAAACCTAACATTCAGTCATTAGATGAATGGATAACACAGCTCCAGCTTACCTGGCCGGTTACCCATAAATCATTAGATGATGCTCATCAAGCCCATAAAAAAAATTGCAAATAAAAAGAGAACTCCACAAAAACCATATCAAGTTGGTGACAAGGTCTTTTTATCCACCAGATATTTGCAGACCACACAAAAGTCAAAAAAGCTTGGACCTAAGTATGTTGGACCTTTCCCAATTGAACGAATTGTGAACCTGTGGCAATCCAACTAAAATTACCTAAAACCTTCCAACGGATCCACCTGTCTTCCATGTTAGTTTATTAAAACCTGAATATACCTCCGACTTGAGGCTGACTCAGGTTGATCCCCCTGTGCCATTGCTAATTGAAGGTGAACAACATTTTGAAGTTAAAGAAATTGTGGATTCTCGAAAAAAAAGGGGTTGACTGCAATATTGGGTTTTTTGTAAACATTTTCCTCCTTCCCAGTCTGAGTGGGTGAATCAGAAGGATGTTAGAGTGCCTAAGCTTATCAAGGCATTTCGTACTAAATAACCTGATAAACCCTAAAATATAGTATTATAGTGTTACATGTATATTTTCTGTTATCTTCTATTTTTATCTTTTATAGGGCTAACACCTCTTTTGAAGGAAGGCCGAATGTCAGCCTTCAAGATTTTCTTCCTTTGCTTTGCATCTTTCTGCTGTCATATCAGGGGGAGGAGGGGGGACATGGTTATGGGAAGCGAGCTGGAGGTGTTACAAAACAAAACTGTATAAGTTGTGGGGGGGGGATTTCTTGCTTAGGCTTCTATCCTATGCTATGTGCAGCTGCAACTCTTTATCAAAATATGTCAAGGTCAATGGACAGAGGCCTCATCACCCCCTGGAGATGCCCAGATGATGCTTTAATTGGATGAGCCAATTGAACTATTGAGGACGGGAATGTTGCCATCACTTTGTATATGTGATTTACATGCTCATTTTCTCAGATTCAGAATTCTTTTTTGCTACCACTTGACTTCCAGTAAAATATATCTTTTCTCTAATTAATGGAGTCTAAGTATTTCTTTCTTGGATTTTGAATGAAGCACCATCTGACACAAACTATTAACCACCTAATAATGTTGAATTCCTATTCAAGTGACAAAATAGATACATGAATCTCCAATTTGTAATTAGATAGTTATCAAATATCAAGGATAGATAGGATGCTAAAGAAGAAGTATAGTTTCTGAACTTTTGATCAAGACTGACTTTAATAATGGTAAAAATATTCCATAGCCATGAACAGATATACGACTAAGCACTTTTCAAAAACTAATTCAATATATGGATTTCTTCCACACCTGGAAAGCATAGAAGAATAAATTCAGTCAACAAGGTCTGTTTTTACAATTTTATGTCTATACTATATGATAGAATTACAATGTAATAAGTGATTAATGATTGTTACAACGTACAAAGGATATTAACAAAGATTGAGCATGTAGTATTTTCTGCAACAAATAACATATGATTGAACCATATTTCTTCAAGAAATAAGTGTTACATATCTTCTTTCCATTTTTGAGCAAAAAATGTAGAATTTGCATAATTCTTTTTTCTTCCTCAAGCAATTTTTTTTCTTTAAGCAGCTTTTCTTTACTTTTTTAAACATATTATAGACATCTTTATGCTCTTCACATCCTTTGGGAATTTGTATCAAGGTAATGGCACTAATTCATAAACAAAGAGTACCTGGATAAAGCATGACATTTCTATGTGAACAACTTGTTCTCCCAATGATGATGAGTTCCAGGTAAATCATACAACTCTGTAGTTTGATTACAAACACAAAATATAAGATGCCCAACAGACATTGATCTCTTTATGGCTCAATACATTAAACAAGAGAAGATCCAAGGAAAACCTTTCTGTTCTCTAGCTCACTCTCACTGCTATAATTTACTTTGTTGCTGGTTGTCCTCTTTTTCCTCTTCCTTCCTTCCTCATTCTCATCATTATTGCTTTCTTAAAAAGGTTAGGTCTTCATCTACTAGGGGACCCAATTTTATGGAACTTTCTTTTTAATGCATTTTGCCAGCATTAATAACTGACACTGCTTGAGTCACTGATATACATTTATTTCAGAGAAGTGATTATCTGAAATTAATGGTTACCTTTTTATTAGGTATACATCAACCTTACCCTGAAAGTGAGATACCTAATACAGTAAGGTGTTAGGTAGCAAATCTATCTGACTTTATCTGAGTCTGAAAAATTAGTCAGGGGTTGTTAGCACTTTCATAGAAGAATCTTAGAATGGGAGCTTGCCAAATGCTAGAAAAAAGAAAATGGCAAGTTCATGTTATATATCCAGGTCATTAGCACGAGACAAGGGTCACTCAAGGGAGTGAATATATTTTATCTCCTTGTAGTCCATTTTCTCTCTTTTTTAATGGAACAAATAGTTCAAATAGCTGTAAACTCTGCTTTAGCAATTTAAAGCAAATTAAAATCTACCAAGTATAATTTCAAAACAAAACATCAACAATAAAAGCCAGTCTATTTAAGCAGCTGTAATTTATCTATTTCTATTTTAGCTTGTATCAGTGTACTGTGGACCATTTATTAACTTCATTAAAAATACATAAGTACATAAGAAATTCCATGCAATTCAAATCATATCATTATAATACAATGAGCTCATATTATCATCTTTAAAATACCTATAAGCCCTTCCCAGCTTAAGACCACATTGTCTGAAAAAAAGAGGAACCCTTTTTTTCCTATATGCTTCTTCCTGAATGTTACAATATTTAAATCTTTCCCATTATACTTCTCCAAGCATTCTTTACATCTTTGTTACGCAAAGTATATATAACAGGGTTTAGTAATGGAGTCAAGATGGTGTACATTAGTGGGATCAGCTTGGTATTAACAGAAGACTGGAAAGAAACAGGTCTCAAATAGGTGAAAATGCTACTGCCATAATAAAGTAGAACCACTGTAAGATGAGAGGAGCAGGTGGAAAAAGCTTTTTGTCTTCCTTCTGCAGAATGCATCTTCAGGACTGTGGAGATGATGGATGCATATGAGAGAAGGATGCAAAAAAGAGGTGTCCATGCTATGAGTAAACCAATAGATAGCAAGAGCTTTTGGTTGAGAGAGATGTCTCCACATGATAACTTTAGCAATGGAGGAATATCACAGTAGAATGCCTCTAGGAAATTATCTCCACAAAAAGGTAACTGAAAGGCAAAATAAGTATGTATTGCAGAGTTAAGAAAACCTCCAATCCAGCAAGCTATAGCTAGTTGGAAGCAGACCCATCTTCTCATAAATAATGAGTAGTGCAAAGGATTGCAAATAGCAACATAGCGATCCAAAGCCATTACTGCCAGAAGAAGGCATTCTGTCCC